TTCTTAAAAGTTGTAGAAAAGAAAGGTCAATATAAGACAACTTCCATGGAGGTTGCTAGTATGTATCTTCAGCTCACGGATCTAGAAGCTGCCTGATTCAAGGCAGGAGTTTTTAGGATCTTAAAACTCTGCAAACTCTTCTTAATGCTCTTAAAGCTTTTCAGCTTCCCAAGCAAGTTGCCTAACCTGTATTTAAAACCTCTTAGTAGAAACCAGGAACCAGTTTCTCAAGGTGTGATTTTGCTTCCATTCTGTTCTTGGGGAAGCAGGACAATTATGATCCCCTAACAACCCAGCCTGCTTATTCCCCTGCCTCACAGACCATCCCCTAAACTCTGCAGGAAAAACACAACACTGCATATTTACGGGTGGGGGGGGACTGTGAGGAGAAGAAACTAATCCTCTGCTTCTATATGAACAATTAGAGTCTCTTACCATACTTTTACACCTGTTGTGCCTATAATCCAATACAGCTGCTAAGAGCTGGGGATGGTGGGTGGGGGGAGGAGAGGAGCCTCATTTTTGGAGTCATCTAATTAAAAACCCAACCCTCAGCTGTACCTCCTGAAGCAGCATAGTCACGTTTGAACACTAAGCCTATTATACCCTGTTAGCCACCATGTGGGAACAAGAGCTTTTTCAGAGACAAACCTCTATATTTGCCTAAAGAAAAACTCATAACCTCGCTCTTCCTTCCTCAAGATAAGGTTTTTTTCCATGCCTCCTGGAAATTCTGCTTCTGGAGAGGCAGAGAATTCTTGGTGACAAAAAAATACAGATGGGAATGGAGAACAGTCCCAAGCTAGTCCAACTCATCTCTGAGCACTGCCACACATTATAACGTATACACTCCAAAATAGAGTAAAGGGGAAGGAAGTACAATTTATTCAGTTTCCTGGCAGAATGACATGTTTAAGCCACGTGACTGTGTTACACTGAGTTAGCAGGTTTCTATAGTTTCAAGAAAGACACAGGTTTCATCAACTAAAGCAACAAGTAGGTGCCACACAGTGCTAACACAACAGCTCGTCCAGCCCAGTGTCCAGGAGCAAGTCCCAGAGCATGCTTGGTGTTTCAAAGGAAGGAGAAGCCCCAGTTATGCAGTTCCTCATAAGCGATGCTGCTCCCTGTAAGGAGCAGAGCCATTGAAAAAATCCTGCCTTTCGAAACCAAGCAGTGCTAGTAAAATGTGAATTTTGTGATAAAATACTGTTCTAAGAGACGCACTAGGAAAATCAGCCACCTGAGGGTTACAGCGCGCTCCTTTAGAGGATTGCTTCTCCTTCCATCCCTCGTGTACGGGATAAGAGGCACAGCGGGATTTCCTCACCTGTGTGCCAGAGCCATGGTAACACCTGCCAAGCAGCTAGAACCCAATAAACCACAATTCCCTAAGTTTGGGGCATTTCAGCCCCTCTGCCCGCGGCGCGGACTGTGAGCTCGGCGAGTTGGAGCCTACCTGGCGATCTGTACGCTTTTATAGGGGGTCGCGTCAGGGAGTCTGGGGTGCCAAAGTGATGCTCGTCCCCTAAAACGAGAAACAGGTGAGGGGCACAGCCGGCAACGCAGCTCAAGCCCCCCAGGCCCGACGGCCTTCCAGGAGCACCACACTCACTGAGAGCCCGCGCTGTTTCCAGCGGCGCGGTCCCGTCCCAACACCCCCGGAGGGAACCACACGGCGCCCGCCCGCCCCGACTCGTCCCGCCCCAACGCGCCCTCAACCGCAAGATCTACTGCGGGCCGCTGCGCCCGCCCGCGCCGCTCACCCTGCCGGGCGCTGTGCTGGGCCGCGCTGTCCACCTCGTCCCCGGGCTCCTCCGGCCGCGCCGCCGCCAGCCGGGGGCTCTTCCGCCGCCGCTTCAGCGTGGGGCCGTCCGGCGGGGCCAGCCCGGGGCCGTCCGGCGGAGCCGCCTCATCGTCGCTGTTGCCCACCATCCTGCCCGCTGCCGCGCCGCGACGCCTACCCCGACTCCGTCCCCTGCCCCGTCCCCTTCCGCGTCCGCCTAGTGCCGCCTGCCCGGGCCTGCGGCTGCCGCCTTCCCGCGGGGGCGGCTCCGCGGGCCTCACTTCCCGCGGGGCGGGACCGGCGCCCGCCGCTTCCGCCCGCGCGCGGAGCGGCCGCCGCGGCGTCACGTGGTACCGGGGCTGCTCCGCCATGGCCGCGGCGCCACCGGAGCCGCCCGCGGGCTCTGGGGCCGGGATCGGGCCCGGGATCGGGCCCGGCGGAAGGAGCCCCGTGAACGCCCGTCCGGCGGCCCCGTGGCTGCTGCCCCCCAGTGAAAAAAATGCAGGACGGCTCCCCCAGCGCGGCGGGGCCCCGCGGGGGCGGCCCCTGAGGGCGGCCTGGGCCCCGCGCCTCCGCTCCCCACCGGGTTGTTTTCTGTGTGCGACCCGATCGTGCCAAAGGCCGGTTTTGTGTTTCTCGGAGGCAGAAAAACCTGTAAAATAAGCACAAATAGCAACTGAGTAGCAGAGAGAGGAAACTAGGAGGTATTTCGGGGGTCGTGAGATCCTTTGGCACTGATAACGTTACGCGGCTCTGTTCCTTCGAGTGGCAATAATTTTGGTTAATCAGATCTGGAATATTTCACTAGGCATTTCACTCTTCTTACCCATTTGTTCAGATGCATTACTGGTAAACAGAGATTTTAAAATGCGTTTGATTGTATTCTTGATAAAGCATTTTTACCCAGGCGTGTGGCAGAGTTCCTATGACCGGAGGTCTTCAAGACGCAGTTTGAAAGCACTATAGGATCTCTAGACTCCCTCCCTAGCAGCACCTTGGAAATGAGTTTCTAAGCAAATAGAGACCCTTTTGCAAATTCACAGAATCACAGAATTGTTCCAGTTGGAAGGGACCTCTGGGGATCATCCAGTCCAACACGCCGGCCAAAGCAGAGTCACCTGACGTAGGTGACACAGGAACACCTCCAGGTAGGTTTGGAATGCCTCCAGGGAGACTCCATGCCCTCCCTGAGCAGCTGTTCCAGTGCTCTGCCACCCTCAGTGTAAAGAAATTCTTTCTCACATTGAGGTGGAACTCAATGTGTTTTAGTTTATGGCCACTGCTCCTTGTCCTGTCACTGAAGAGTGTGGCACTCCTGTACAATCCAACAGGAAGGCTGGGTGAGGGAAGTGCCATTCAGCCTCCACTCCTGTACCTGTCTTTTCTGTACAAAGACTTCAAAACAAAAAAATACCTTAAATTCTTTACTAACACACAATAAATATTTTATTTTCACCCAAAAGCAACTGAGTATTTTTGACATTTTATACGTACCTCCTATTGTACCAGCAGTAAATATTGTCATTCTTTTCAGTCCTAAAAGCAGAACACACACACTGAACATTGTTTTCTTAAGCAAAAATTAAAGAAGATGTTACAAAAACCACATCAGAAAAAAAATCAACAATGTCAAGATGTTTTTTTTGTAACGGTGATTTCATGCCCGAGGCTAGCCAGTTAATTTTCCTGCTAAATGACTTTTTGGGAACCAGGTTCTTAACATGGAGAGGCTGAAATGACTCCCTGATTTTGTCACACACTTGCCACCAGTTTTGTGACACCTGTGCTTCTTGTGGAAAGGGTGGCCCCTCAGCCCCAAACACCTGCTGTGTTGAAGGGACTGGATGGTTTTAGGGACAGAGGGATAGAAAATACTTGGATTTTCGTGAAGCCCTTGCTACTTGCAGTTCCTCTCTGCTGTTCTTTGGCTGTTCCTTACTGATGGAGATTGAGTCAGGGTGCAAGGTTGATGGCAGCCAGGAGCAGGGTCCTCAAGGAGACCTTGGACCTTGGCCTCTGTGGATCAGCCATGCTGACTTTTTCCTTCCTGCTTTTCCTTTCTCCTGGTTTTACAGCCTCTCCTGCACCTGGTGAGAGGTTGGTCACGACAAGGGAATGTGCTGAGTCTGCCATGGCCACTGTTCTCTGCCAGGCTCTGTGGGTGACAGAGGAAGCCGCTGTCAGAAATAAGGTGCAGTAGCCAGCACACCTTGCCTTCTCATCACCTTCCTGACATGAGCAGTGTCAGTAGTGATGCCTGTGCACATGCTGACACCCATGCAACATGGCACACACATTTTATTGACCCCTCTGGCATTGCCTCTGTGCTCTCTGGGCCAGTAAAAGTTCCTCCACACAGCATAAAGAAGTATTTTTTTCTGCCCATTTGAACCCAACCTCTTACCTGTTTTACAAGTGCCTCCAATGCTAGTAAGGGGAGGATTTAGTCAAATTGAAACAAATCAAACACATTAGTCCAATCCCCCCTTTCAGCTCTCTACCCCCAGAATGAGGAGTCCCAGGCACTCCATGCCTGCTCCTTTCCAGCACTGTTTCAGTTGCCTTTCCTTGTGTTTTGTCTCAGCCATTTGCTGCAGGGCTGCTCTGGGGATGCTGGTGAAAAGGCAGTGAGCTGAGTTCTGGGGGGTTGCTGTCTCTGTTCTGCTGCTCCTTGTGCTGCTGCCGTTCCCCTGGTGTGCTCCATGCTGCTTCTTTCCATGAAATTCCTGAGCAAGGGGCATAGGGAAGGGGTTGGAACATACCCATGCCTATACATGCCACTGTGCAGGCATCACAAGTTAGAACAGATTTTTTTGGGGAAAAGCATTGCCTAAAGGAGGCCAAGGGCTGACATACACAGTCTCGGACCTTTTCCCCCCCTTGCAGTCTCTGGACCACTCCAGGGGACACTGGGTGGGCTCTGCACCCCTTTCCCTCCAGACTGATGTTGAAGGCCCTCCATTTCATGTCCTTGACAGCCTCCCTGCACTGGCAACGTGATATTTCCAGAGTCTGGGCTTTGCTGCCTACTTGTTTGGGTGGCTTTTCGTGTGGTCCTTTTCCTAAATCAACTCTCAAGGCAGTTCCCTCCTCACTCTGATTTCCTTGCTTCAATCCGCAACACTGTAACTGAATTCAGGAAGCCGCCAGTCATGCAATGAGGCTGAAAAAAAAGCGCACAACCACAGAGTCGCGGAAACACGGTCAGAAAAAGGAAGTTCTTGTTTCCTGAAGGCTCCCGAGAATGACTGTGGGAAGGAAAACTACAGCTCCCAGCGGCAGCCGGGAGCCAGGGAAGGGCAGAGTTCACCGTCACGTTTCCAGCGGAGGATTCAGGGTGTGCGCTGGTATCCTGCCACCAAAGGGCCTCTGGGACGGAGGGCAAGGGGAAAGGCCAGCGCTCGCCTCCTCTTGCCACCCCTTTGCTCCTGATCGCCGCCCTGACCGGCTCCGAAGCTGCCTGGGTAAGCGTCCTGCTCCACTTTGTTCTGCTGACTTCCTTCTCCTGCTAGAGCGTCAGCGTCGGGAATAGGGAAGGGAAGGGAAGGGAAAGACGAGAGCCGGGCGGCAGGGCAGCGACTGCACCCCCGCACTCCCGAATCCTGTGTTGGAGACAGTGCTGGGGGATGAGGTGTCCCCCCGTGCCGAAAAGCTGCTGAGGAGGCCGGGGTGGAGATTTCTGTACAGAAAACTGCACGGACCGCTCTCCAGCGAGGAAAGTTTCTTGGGAGTTTTCCATGCCGACTTAGTTGTGCTTGGGAAAGCCATCAGCTGGATTACACCAGCGAGCCCGGCTCCGTCTGTGCCCTGTCCCAAAGCGCTTTATCCGGGGGGAATCATCTCGGGAGGGGTGCAGGAGTCAGGCTGCGGCTCCGTCTGTGCCCTGTCCCAAAGTGCTTTATCCAGGGGGGAATCATCTCGGGAGGGGTGCAGGCTGGAGCTCCAGGTTCGCAGCCCCCGGCCAAGTGCTGCTGAGCCCGCGGGGTGGTTCTGCCGGATCGCCTCCCGATCCGACCCGCTGGAGGCAGGCGGGTGGGACTGACGGAAAGAGCGGGGTCATTGCTCCGTGTCGGCCTGGCTGCGAGGTATTAGGTGCCCAAAAGCACACGGTGCAGCCTGCCGAGCCCCAGACTCCAGGCCTGCCGTTCCGGAGCTCAGCTGAGAACGTCGGGATGAGACAGCAGTGCCTCATCCCCCTGGCATGTCCCAGGATAAATGCGGGCTGGAAATTCATGGTTATGAGCGACATCCGCCCATTTTCACCTTGGGAATCATGGAGGAGGAGTCTCCTCCACCGTGAATCACGGCTCCTGTGTTTCTGCTTATCAGGTTAGTGGGCGTGTAGTTGGAATTGCCCGGACCAGGACGGGATGGTGTCTGTGAGGGGGGTAGGACTGGGCCAGCCTCTCGAGCAGCAGGGAGATCCAGCTCCGTGTGAACATCGGAGAAAGTGAAACCAAACAGTGCAGAAGCCAGAGCTCCAGGGGAAAAGGAAAATGGAAGAGAATCCAAGCGTGGATCTGCCTGGAGGTAAGTGAATCCTAGGCTTACTCCATCTGTTAGGAAAATCCCTTTGCTGCAAGTTTTCAGCACTGACATGGGAACCCCGTGCAAAAGAAAAACCAGTAAAAGAATCCCATCTTTTCCAGGCCAAGTAAAGCAAGTTGCCATCATTTTTTAAAGGGTGAAAGATGAACAAGTTACTTTCAGTTTTAGTTCTGACCTGCAACAGGGTTAGACTCTGTGTCCCAAGATGGCAGCACAAGAAATGCTAAAGAGAGAGATCCAGACTGGAAGAGCTTTCTTCCCTACATCCTGGTGCCTCCCCTCTGCAGATGCTTAAATAATAAGCCAGTTTTCCACCACCTGTGGTTGGAAAAACTCTGAAAGACGCAGGGCAAGGAGTAATTTGTACTCAGCTTGAACAGCAGGATATATCCAAGTTCCTCATATTTCAGTTTCTACTTACAATCTGTGGGAGCTTAGTACCTATGAGTGTGTCAGTGATACAGATGCCATCACCAGCTCAGGTCTGTCCTAGATAGTCAGAAGTGTTACTGTAATAATCAGCAATAAAGAATGTAAAAATCATATTCTGACACGTGCAGCTTTTTCTCTATTTTCAAATTAGAAGGGAGTTCCTTGCCCTTTTTATCAGTGTTTATTCTAATTATAGCATAATCATTTATGTCATTGTAGTTCTTGGTTATTCATAAGCAATTTTTCACAAATAGTGCCTGAAATTTGAGCTGCACTTTGGTTCTGTAAGAGTCAGAATATGTCACAGATGCTGTTCAGTTGCAGAGTCTCTCTATTAAATTATGCTCCAGTGTTTGTTTCTAATTAAATGTTGCCATAGTTCTTTGGGAGAGCAGCTCCAGGACAGAAAGAGAGACAGAGCATGAGCAGAATTATCATTTATATTCAGACAGATGTTTGAAGTGCATTGGCATAGCTGTACTCAATAACAGCCGTAGGAATTCTTCAAATCCATTGCTGTCTGTGAAAATTCACTATCTTTGGAAGATGTGGTAACATATCCTACCACTTAAGGAAGGAGTTGCCTGCCCATCCCACCTAGGACATAAGCTGGGATTGAGTTAGCTTTAGTATGGAAGGTGTAAGTTCTCTGGTTTGGATTTGTGGGTTTAGAGAAAAAAGTGTTGAAAACAGAGCAGTGTTTTGGCTACTGTTGAATAGTGCTGGCACAGCATCAAGGCTTTCTGCTCCTGCCCAGCAGAAGATTGGACAGGGACCCAAGGTGGGAAAAGGGTTGTTGAATAAAATACAGCATCGTACTCAGCAACAAAAACTGGGGCACAGGAAGAAATGGAGGAGGGGGTGGCTTCCAAGGTGGCCATTGCTGGCCAGGGAGACTGGTGGGGTATCAGTCTGCTTGTAGGAGGTGGTGAGTGATTGCCTTTGCATCCTGATTCCCTCCTTCCCTTCACTCAGCTGTCTGGATCTCAACCCAAGAGTTTTCTTACTTTTGGTCACTCTGTTCTCTTCTCCTCTGCCTCTCTGGGGGTAAATGTTTCTGTAGTGCCAGAACTGGGAGTTGTATGGGTGGTGGTAAAGCACTGGGCATTCTTGACTCCTGTGTGGCTTACTGGGCTTTTGAACTCTGATCCCAACAGCTGGATCAGCCCAGGGTGAGGTGGGGAGCACAACAGACCGTCCTGTGCACCAAGAGCCCACCCAGGAAACACCTGGGCATCAAGAGGCCACTCAGGAAACACCTGGACACCAAGAGCCCACCCAGGAAACACCTGGGCATCAAGAGGCCACCCAGGAAGCACCTGGGCACCAAGTGACAAGCAGGTGGCCTGAGACATCCTGCAAAACAGAGGAGGACTCTTCGGTGTGTAAATCAGCTGGTGGTGGGGGAGCGACAGCACTGTTGGGTTCAGCTGGTCCCACACTGGAGGAGAAAGCTGCACATGAAACTGAAGTATTGCCAGAAGAATCTGACAATACAAGAGAAGATGTCTCAGAAGGACCCCTGGAAAAAGAGGACTTGGATCAAGGTGAGTCTTTCCCCACCCTTGGGCTTGATAACTTGGGCCTTGGCTTAGAGGAGGCAGAGCAGGAGAAAGAGTTGTTGGTTCTTGGGCTAAAAGAGACTAAGCATAGGTCTGTGAATTTTGTTCCCCACAGCTGGACTGGGCCATGAGAATGTGGAAAGCAAAGGAGACAGCCCTGTCCACCAGGAAACATGGGAGCACCAGGGGACAACTGGGCAGTGTGAAAGCCTCTGCAAGGCAGAGGAAGATGCCTTGTCAACAAGCAAGGCACAGAGCTCTGACAGTGAAATGATACATTTGGATGTGACTGGCGTGGAAGATGTCCCCAGTGGCCTCTTGGCAGAGCAGAGCAGCAGTGCCACTCTCCCAGACCGGGAACCAGAGGCACCCAGAGAGCAAGAAACACAGGAGAGCAGGTCCCAAGGCACATTAAGGAAAAGACCAAAAGGTGAGCTGGTGACTGCACACTGCTGTTCTTCTACTTCCTACACTTCCCATAGGCATTAGAACAATAGTTGGGTGAGATCTCTAGTAGCTGTTGTCACTTTCCTGGAGTCAAGCAAGAAAGAAGGTATAAGAAATTAATTGGCTTCTCTCTTTCTCTCTCCTTTGGCTCCTGTCGTGCTTTGAAAGGCATGAAGCCACACTGCACTCTGCATCCTTGCTCAGCCCAAGAGGAGAGAGCCAAGACTCAGGGGCAGTATTAACCCAAAGCAGCATTCACTTCTTGCTCTTCTCTCATCTGGGACCTCCTGCTTTGCTTACTAGAGATTAATTTTCCTGTTCCTTCAGCAGTGAGTAGGCACATTTCTTTTCTCTTGCTGCAGGAGACACAGCCTCAAACCCAGAGACTCAGTCCTCTCTGCAGAACGTCACCACCCAAAACACAGAGCAGGAGAAGGCCAAAAAGTCCCTCCCGTGGAAAGGTGAGGAAAAGAAGCTTCCCTTGCATGTTACTCATCGACCAGAAGGCACTGATCCTCCAGGAGCAAGTAATGAAGCACATTAATTACTCTTCTCTCTCAGAACCTTTTGCAGCCTCTTTGAGGGTTTGTGAGAAAAAGCATCCCCTTAAATAAAGGCTGAGTTTGAGCCTATAGTGGCAGCTTCCCCTCCAGCCCTTCATCCTCAAAAGCTGGCATATTGTGCTTGTCACACTGTGAGTGCCCTGGGATGTCCTGGGAGGTCTGGGAAGCTGCTGTGCTGAGGGTCCCCCTCCCCTAGAGCTCTGCTCTGCCATGGGGCTCTAAGCAGGAACAGTGATGCTGATGGGCATCAACACATTTCTCCTGTTAGAAAGAGACTCTGCTTTGCCATGGAGAGGGATACAAGCCGTTGTGTCTGGACCTTGCTGCCTTCTGTTTTCTGAGCAGAAGCATGGTGGCCTTTGTTCACTCATAGCATGGAGGAGGGAAGTGAACACAGCACTTTACCTGGGTCAGACACTTCCATATGTGGTGCTCTGAACAGCCACAAACCCTAAAGAAAACAGAGGAGGGGAAAGAGATGAAAGCTTGTGAACAGCTGCAATTTCCTCAGGAAGTTTTGCACACAATGCTGTAGCCTTGCCCTCATCCCTGGAGCTGCAGCCCCTTCACCTGGTGTGTTAGAGTGGGAGTCTCACAACACAGAGCCAGCAGCTCCTTCACTTTTCCTGGCCAACTTGCTCCGCTTTCCTAGTGCAGGGGAGAGGTCTGAGAGGGGAAAAATAGCCAAAAAGTAGCTACTTTCCAGCATGTCACTGCAGGTCACTTGGGACTGACTCCTGTTCCCCGTCTCATATCTCTCCCCTGTTGAACAGGACTTTTCATCGTGGGCCTCGCAGTGCTTGGCTTCTGCATCTTCTGCTTCGGCAGCCCGACCTCCAGCTCGCAGCAGCCCCGCAAGAACCCCACGGTGGAGGCGTTCCTGTCCCAGTTCGACCAGCTGCAGCACAGCTTTCCGGGCCAGAGCCCCGACCTGTGGCTCCGTGGGCGCAAGTTCCTGCGGAAGCACCTGAACACGTCCCAGCACACGCAGCCGGCCATCATCATCCTCACGGCCGCCCGCCGCGGCGAGCGGACCCTGCGCTGCCTCAGCGCCCGCGTGGCCGACTCCTACTCGGCCGCCGTGCACGGCAGCACGGTGCAGATCCACGGCACGGACAAAGCCAGGCTCCACAGCGACCGGGCCAAGCTGGAGGTGGACTCGGAGCTGAGCTCGGCCTTCCAGGCTGGGGGCCGAGCCGCCGTGATTCACCGCTTCGAGCTGCTGCCCGCGGGGGCCACCCTCATCTTCTACAAGTACTGCGACCACGAGAGCGCCGCCTTCAAGGACGTGGCCCTGCTGCTGACGGTGCTGCTGGAGGAGGACACGCTGGAGAGCCACATCAGCCTCCAGCAGGTGGAGGAAAGGGTCCGTGACTTCCTCTGGGCCAAGTTCACCAGCAGCAGCGCCCCCGGCTCCTACAACCACATGGACTCTGACAAGCTGAGCGGGCTGTGGAGCCGCATCTCCCACCTGGTCCTGCCCATACACCCAGTGCAGAACATCGAGGAGGAGGGCTGCTATGCCAAACCCTAGGGACAAAAGTGGCCAGAGCCCCAAGATGGTCCTGGCTGGCTCTGGTAAAGGCAAAGGCACAAGTGGTGTTAGTTCTCTTCAGTCTGTTTCTTGTAGGTTCCTGGGAAGAGTCTGACAGGTACAGGATGATCCAGGACATTTGGGCAGCTGAGTCCTGGAGGTGATACACGGCTTTTTTCTGGCAGATGGGAACAGGGGGTATTTTAGAGCTTCACAGGAGAACATCAATGTGTAGGGAGGCAGGAGGGAAAACAGGACCTTGCAGTAGCGTTTCTATCAAGAAATAGACAAATAATGTTCACAACTAGTACGACAGAAAGATGCTGTGATTCGGTGGCTCTTTCATCTCTCCCTGCCCCTCCGCTTGCTGAAGTTGGTACATCATTCTCTCAATATACTTTATCCAGGGAGCTGCTAGAACACAGGCCAAATTCCTCAAAGCCAAACATTTTGAAGTCATGCTTCAAAAAGAAAAGCAGTTTGCCAGTCAGCGTCAGTACAGTCCCACTTGCACAGCCTGACTGACACCAGGCAAAGCCCAGATCCTCAAACAAACCTGCAATTCAGAGATCCCCTAAACATCAAGTACAAGAAATTTCAGGTTTTCAGCAATTGAACACTACCCTAATGGCAGGGATCCCATGAGGGGATCCCAGGTGCTAGAGAACAAGCTCCAGAACCAGAGAACAGCGAAACAGTTGCTGTCACTCAGATAGTGTGAAGCCTCAAGGGATTACACAGGTGAACAAATGAATAATACAATGTAATTTAATGCTACTTCTCTCTAAAACAAGTCCAGTCAATCCCTTTGCCACACAAAGGTTGCCACTCTCTCCCCGTGCCAATGCTTTGGTCCCACACAGCAGGTTGTTCTTCACCTGGATCTCTGATCTGTTGTGCAGGGCTGGAAATCTCTGCCAGCCTCTCCCCAGGTGACTTGTATTGATGAATGTAGATGTTAACGTTGATATTTCAAACCATGTAGAGTAGCACACCGGGTCCTTGCTCTTCAAGGGTACGTTTGCCTCCCTGCTAGGCAGATGGAAGTCTGGTATCTGCCAAAGCAAGTAGAAGCAGAGCTGGGTTAGCTGGTAAAGACAAAATCTCTGCCATTAACACTAAAAATCCTTGACAAAGCGGGTTAGTTGCTTTTCATGCCTCCTTTTCTGCATCCTGGGAAGAGAAATTCAAGTTCTGGAAACACTGTGGTTCCCCTGCACACTGTGTTTTTGCAGGTGCTGGGGGGCAGAGCAGCCAACTCAGGGACACCTGGAGAGCAGGTGCAGGTTACAGCATTTATTATAACCTAAGGGGCAGCCCCACGTGCCAGCCCCATGTGCCTGTGCAGAAGGAACAGCTGTAGCAGATTTTGGCTCATTTCCACAGCAGCAGCACAGACTGAGGCCTTGCAGAGCCAGGCTCTGTATCCAAACAAGAACAACTCCTCTCCACCACGGTGGTTTTTAGCAGCTACACATCAAGGTGCTCCTTACAGCAACTGGACCCTGGTGTTGGGTGGGTCTCCTGCCAACAGTGCCTTGCTGATCTGCCCCACCAAGGGTGCAGGAAGGTGCAGCCTTGTACCTCAAAAACCACAGCCTGTCTCTTCTTTCCCCCTGCCGTGTGCCTTGACCTGTCTCAGGAGATTAGCCCTCAGCTTGGAGGAGGGGACAAAATGAAGGAAGAGGGAGGGTTATTCATGTTCTGACCAAAGAATAGAATTTTTGGTTGGTTGGGGACGTGAAGACAAGACCACTGGGATTTTAACCATGATAAACTCTGGGCCAAATGTGAGAACTACCTGCTGGAGCCCAGGACATGGTTTGATACAGGATAAAGGTTGCTTTCTCCTCTCCTTCTTTTCTATTGCTATACACTACTTTGGTGAGAGAAAACACTGTATCCTGCTCAGCAGGGTTAGGTGTGGGTGTTGATGTAAGAACCAGCAAAGCATTAATCATGCTATGCCAATATTTTGATGGAAATCTGTGTTTTTATGTTCTCTCCGTTTTACATACTGTATTTGCAATGCATAGCCCAGGTATGCAAAGGCAACTCCCCATTCTGAAAGTGTCACCTACCTGAGTTCTTCCCATACAGAGATATTTTTATGGCCTGTTAAATATCTGCTTGCTTCTGGAACAGAACTTCTATTTAAAAATAAATGGTGAGATTGTGAAAGAAGCCAGCAAATTGAGATTGGAGTCTGACTGTATTCCATTTTTTCTCCTTAGCTGTTTTCATTAAGCTAAAGAGATCATCATATTAGGTGAAGTTTTATTTAAGTCATAGCTGTAGCTGTGCAAACAAAGTGAATATTTGCTTTTCCTGGGAAAACTCTAAGCATTTTTCTCAGTTGTTTGGAGCAAATATTTGCAGCTTTTTCAACTTAGACGAAATTTAAAACAAACCCCCAAAGAGCTGCTGGATTCAACCCAGGCTGAAATACACTGGGGTTTGCATAATACTTAATGATAATAAATGAAACTGAAATCCACTGACAACTGAAATGTTTTAGAAATATGAAAAGCAAATATTATTCATTTCAACAGATTGGTTCCACTTCATATTCCACCACCTCAGCACACACAAACTTTTACTTTTGGGCCCAGCTATAGCCTAAACAGAGAAAGGTCTGGAAAAGAAAAGAAGATTTACCCTGTTAGTTTGGATTTTCTTCAGTCCCCTAACAACAATACTCATTACAATGGCACCTGCCTTCACACAGATCTCCATGTGATTGATTGCCAGAGGTGAACATCACCCCCTCCTGTTTGATGTCAGAGCTTTGGTCCTACACCAAAGATTTACATGAAAATCCAGTGTCCCCAGGTACAGCAACACTGGATGCAAAATCCAGACTGCTTTTTAAAGTCTTGCACATGAATCCAAAAGTGAGTCCAAAGGGAACAGCTGAACAAACTCAGAGGCAGAAAGATGCACTGGTGGGTTTTATTGAGTCCCAATCTCTGCAGCAGCAGTTCTGCAGGGAAGGACAACAACCCTAAAAATCACCTTGAAAATTACACAAGAGCACACCTGAGGGGCAAAACCAGTCCTGGAAGGCCAGCCTGGACTGCTGCACCACAAAATCAGCACTGATTATCCCTGTGAATGTGCTGCTGTCCTGCAAGCCAATGTAACTTTGTCACCCTCAGCATTTAAAGCCAAGTGGCCCAGCCAGTGCTGCCCAGGTGTGGCACTTCAACCTGTCTGCCTGCAGCATCCCTGACCCTGTGACAGGTACATTCCTGCCACATCTCTCCTCACCTTTTTGCACTGGCATGGGCTGGAGCTGGAAGGAGGCAGGGCACAAAGAGGAGGAGTGAACCCAGTTCAGCCACATCTCTCCTATTGAGCTTTAACATCTGTGAGCTCATCTGCAGCTCCATGCACAGGCTCCACTGCCACAGGGCTGCTCCCGGGGGCCACTTTCTGGCCGACAAAACCTCCATTGTAATTGAGATTTGCAGATATTGGGAGCTGGAATCTGTTTTTATTTCCCACCTTCGACTCTGCAAGGGAAGCAGCCGTACAATGAACCACACAAAGGAACTTGGCCTCAGCTTGTGGAAGTACATCACAGGGAGAGCCTGTGATGAAAAGGCTCAAAGAATGCAGCTTAAAAGTGTATTCCCCACAGAGGGAGGGGGCTAAGCCATGGCAGGCATCCCCGGCCTCTCTGCTGTAGCTGGACTGAGCAATTGTGCTGAGGCTGAGGAGAGGCTCTGCAGATCCCTCGTGAGGGCACTCAAGAGCTGAGGATCTTCTCAGAGCCAAAGCAGAGGCATCAGGATAGCACAACACAGGGCATGGAAACAGCCCCCACACAGCCCACAATCCTTCGAGGTCTACTCCATCCCCTGCCCCAGCAGCCCAGGGATCACTCAGACACTCTGGGTAACAAAAACCGGGACATGGCAATGTCCACAGAGGAGCAGACCTAGCCTCTTCCCACAATGACAGCTTGGGCTGAATGAAGCCCCTGTTTTCTCTGTTAACAGAGCCGAATCCTTAGGGCTGCTCAGAGCAGTAGAAAGAAGGATCAATCACAGCCCTGGGCAAAGGTTGTGTCTGCAGAGTGCCTGGATCACACAGGTTCCTCCTCACAGGGAGAGAGAAGTCCAATTGCTCCTTCTCCATCTGTTCTGGGGCAAGCACCAGGCTCCCTCCAGCAGGCTGGGCAGCAGCAGGAATACACACAGAGAAATAAAGAGGTGCCTAACACCCCTCCACACCAGGCCAGTATCACACGTTTTTCTTAACTCTCAACGTCTATAATTATGATTCCAAGACTTTCCCCATGAGAAGGCAGTTGCTACCTGTGACAGGTGAGTTGTGAGCAGAATGAATCCCTTCAGGTAGTATTCAGGACCTGACACAACAGCAGCCACAAACACTGCTTCTCCATTCCAGAGGCTTGTGTTTCCCCTCCTAATTGTGTTTGGAAGAATTTTTTTGAGAAACTGTTTGCTGACAGAACCAAATTCAATGAGACAAGAGGTTGAAGTAATCCCAGGCAGCTTCCAGAGGGCAGGGGATGAGTGTGAATCGGTTCCAAATAGGATTGGCATCCTATAATGAAAAGCACTGGCTATGGAGAGACATTTGGGGTGAAACCATGGATGTTACTACACGGGAGATCTTCAAACTCGTGAATTCTTTAAACATTGCCTGGTGGCAGCACAGACCTGCTTTCTGTTAACAGGACGCACGAAACTGGAAAGCAACAGGGGAAAAGCCCCTGGTGATGGTAAAGATGAATGCAAGACCACAAAGGGCTGCTGCACATGGCAGGCTCAGTCTGCTCACACATAACATATCCCACAGCAGAACCAGCTGGCCCCGTTAGAAAGAGGCAGCTTTACTTTATGGTCTGAATAAAGACAGTAAGGGAAAAAATTAATTGAGAAAAGTGGATTGGAAATTATTAGGAGCCTGGGAGTAAGCTGTGGTGGCTTTGTTAACAAGATTTAAAATGTATTTAATCAGCTGAGTAACACTTCCAAACCTTCTCAGACACTGGATAATGTGGGGGGTGTTCAAGACTACAGGGGACCCTTTATCTCCCATATCCTTGTTCCCACATTGACTGAGAGTATTCAAAACCTCCTCTGCACCTCAAGGGAACAATCACACTGCCTAAACTCAGGATGTGAAATGACAAGCAGCATTTTAAACATTGTCTTTCTGCCTTCCACACTGCACTTGTGTCACCCCTATGAACACAGGAGGCTCAGGAGTGATGAAATGGGATGAAAGCAGGACTAGCAAGAAGGGTCAGGAGAGAGGGGCACGGAGGGGCCCTGGAGGGGAAAGCATTGGAGGCCACCTGGATTTGCCCCGTCACACTCCCGCAGAGCCTCACATGCAGACCCCCCTCTCCAAATCATCTGTGCTGCACAGCCTCCTTCTGCCTGCCAGGGCTCCTGCTCGGACACTGCTTTTGAAAGGGCCTGAAGAAGATCAGACGCACTGAAACTTGCTCAGCTGGAGCCAGCCAGCCCCCCTTTTCTTCTAAGGCACAGCCTCTCCCAACCTCCCTGCCCTTCCACAATTTTTCTTATCTGCGGGGCAGGACCTGGCTCCGGAGGAACATTACACGGGGCTGCAGCAGGGCAGAACAGCCACGAGTTGATTGAAGCTTTTCTCCCCTTTTTGTAGGCACAACGGTGTTCTTTGTCAGTGCTTCTCATCCTCATTTTCTCTGGCTGGGTCAGAAGCAGATCGCCCCCTCCTTCCCTTGTCCCTCCCTGCCAGCAAACAGCTTTGATCAGGAGTCCCCCTGCTGACATCCCTGTCTTTCCTCTCCCCTCCCTCCACCTTGAGGCTGAAACTCTTGATGAGGGAGCGATGAGGACTCGGATCGCCTCCCCACACTAATTACAGCACATCTGGCAGGCAGGACCCTCTGCTCCCCAGCTGCCCGCCCCGGGCCGGGCACACCTGATGCCATTTCTGCACAGCCTGTGGCCATGGATCACAGCAGGCAGCTCCCGGCAGGGCCGGGGTGTGCCAGCACGGGCACTGGCAGCATCTTGCCAAAAGCTGCCTTCTGGTCAGAAGCAAGGGGCAACCCAGAAAGGAGGCGAAAAGAGGTCTGAGAGCTTCTTCCAGTGCCTAAAAGGGCTCCAAGAGAGCTGGAGAATGGCATGAAACTGCCAGAGGACAGGTTTTGAAGGGATATTGGGAAGAAATTCTTCCCTGTGAGGGAGGTGAAGCCCTGGCACAGGTTGCCCAGGGAAGTTGTGGCTGCCCCATCCCTGGCAGTGTTCAAGACCAGGGTCGGGGCTTGGAGCAACCTGGGATAGGGGTAGTGGAAATTGTCCCTGCCCGTGGCATGCAAGGGGTGGGACAAGATGGTCTTTAAGGTCCCTTCCAACCCAAACCATACTAGGATTCTGTGATTCACCCACCCTCCCAGCAAGAGCAGCTCCCCGTGTCCTGGGGCATGCTGCGCTCTGCCCCAGCACGGAGTACGGGCTGCTCCAGCCCGGCCACAGGGATGACCTGGGAAGCAGAGCTTGCCTACAGAGGGCAGGAAGGAGAAATCGGGTAGCAAAAGAGTTTTGTGAGGGAGCAAACGAACGGAGGGCTCCGCTTGAGAGCGAGGGGCAGCGCGGGTGACTCCGCAGGGACCCTCGGTGCCGGGGCCGCTGCGGGGGCTCGGGAAGAGCCGCCCAGAGCGAGCTCCGAGCCCCGGGGCGGCGGCAGCAGCAGGGCGGTGCGAGGCGCAGGCGGGGCGCGGCGGGGCCCGAGGAGCGCCCGGCCCCAATCCCATCCCAACCCAACCCATCCCATCCCAACCCCATCCCTCCATCCCTCCCCCGCCGAGCGGCCGCGCCGCGGGTCGCCGCCCGCCACCCGGCAGGTTGTAAAGTCATTAACTCCCCCAGCCATGCCGGGCCGCGCTCCGCGGGCCCCGCCGCGCCCGCCGCCGCCGCTGGTGGGCCGCCGAGCCGCCTCCTCCTCCGCGGCAGCGGCAGCAGCAGCGCGGCATGGCCGCCGCTCCCCGCCGCCTCCTCCTCCTCCTCCTCCTCCGCGCCGCCGCCCCCCTCGGCGATAAGGTAAGCGGCGGCCGCCGAGCCTCCCCCCGCGCCCTCCCTCTCTCCTTCCCTCCTGCCTTCCTTTCTTCCCTCCCCTCGGGGAGCCGCGGCGGGGCAGGGACGGAGAGGGGTCCGACCCGCGGCCCCTCGC